TGGCATCACAGCTCATAGCAACCTCTAACTTCTGGGCTCAAGCGAGTCTCCTGCCTCTGCCTCCCAAGTAGCTGGGACTACAGGCACCCGCCACAACACCTGACTATTTTTTGGTTGCAGCTGTCATTGTTGTTTGGTGGGCCCAGGCTAGATTCGAACCCACCAGCTCAGGTGTATGTGGCTGGCGCCTTAGCTGCTTGAGCCACAGGCGCTGAGCCACCTGTGCTGAGCCACCCAGGCTGGTCTTAAACTCCTGACCTTAAGCAATCTCCCTGCCTCAGCCTCCCAAAGTGTTGGGATTACAGGCATGAGCCACCATGCCTGGCCACTATGGAATTCCACTTTTTATGGAATTTCAAAGTCAGAGGTTCAGAAACAAGAGAGTCCTCTGTAAATCAAAGAAGACTTGTTGAAATTGGCTTAAGCTTGGACCAGTTGTACCTTAAGGAGATGGCAATTTCCTTCTCCCTGGGGTGGTGCCTGTGGCTCAAAAGGGTAGGGTGCCGGTCCCATATGCCAGAGGTGGCAGGTTCAAACCCAGCCCTGGCCAAAGACTGCAAAAAAAAAAAAAAAATTTCCTTCTCCCTTTCTCTCATGTATGAAGGTCCAACAGCCTGGACAACACAGGTGTCATATCTTAGACTTAGAATGAAGCATGGCTTTTTTTACCCCTAGGTTTACAGTCTTATTTTCTCTTAACTTAGGCTAATATTAAAATGTCTCTGAACACATACTCTTGGTGCCATGATGAGAGAATACTTCCAAAAACAAAAACCAGATTTTTTAAAAGTGAAAAAAAATTGTTATCATTGTCTACTGGAGAGTGCAGAGACTTTTTTTTTTCCCTGCAATTTTTGGCCAGGGCTAGGTTTGAACCCGCCACCTCCGGCATATGGGGCTGGCACCCTACTCCTTTGAGCCACAGGTGCCGCCCTGCAGAGACTTTTAAAGAGCAGTCTAGGCTCGGCGCCTGTGGCTCAAGTGGCTAAGGCGCCAGCCATATACACCTAAGGTGGCGGGTTCGAATCCAACCCGGACCCGCCAAACAACAATGATGGCTGCAACCAAAAAATAGCCAGGCATTGTGGCGGGCGCCTGTGGTCCCAGCTACT